TACATTTCCAATTCATATCCAGTATCATATTCATAATTTATGACTATGTATCTGTATTCTCTTGAATCTTTTTGAGCTTTTTAAAAATCATTCTATTTATCAGGCATTTCCTCCATTTGATTCTTTGGATCTGTTAATAGTTATGTTCTTTTGAAACATAACTACATAACATAACATGTCTTGTACTTCTATATTATTTACTCATCTAATTAATCAGTTATCTTCACTACTTTTATGGGATGTTCTACTTTCTCCTAAACATATCTTGAGATTTTAGTTTGTTATGCTATGTTGACTTTGTTTCCAACTCAGCATTTTAGTGTAGTTTCTGTATAGATTCTGTGTCTTATTAAAAATTTTTGGTATAGTACAAATTGTGATGTAGTCAGAAAGACACACTGTCTCTGTAAGCCTCATTAAGAATGGGCACATTGCTGGACACAGGCAGCTTACATCTATAATCCTAGCTTCTTGGGAGGCAAGACTGGGAGGATCAGTTCGAGGCCAACCTGGACAAGCTCCCAAGAACTGATCTTGTAAATTATTACAAGGAAATTTCCTTGTAATTATTACAAGGAAAGAGAACATTTTGCGGGAAAAACACAGAAAGAATGTGCCCCAGGAAGTCTTTCCTCTTCACTAAAATATGCTGAGCAGGCACCCCAGTTGAAGAGCAACACATGCTTCCATGCTTCTTCACTCAAGCAATTTTGTGTCAGTAAAGCTACGTTCCCACAAATTTGCTGGGTCCACAGAGTCTCAGTCCTTTGTTTAGTTAATGGAGTTGGGAAGGTTTTGTAGGAAGAGTTGGAGGTAAAGAGAGACAGATAGACAAAGAGAGAGAAAGAGAGAGAGGAAGATACAAAGAGGGAGACAGAGAAGGGGAGAGAAGAAACACTGTCTTCTCTTCATAGGTGAGAGGCTTGTCTTTAAGACCTCTCCTAAGTAGCCTCTCCTCCACAGCACTGATAAGTGAGTGAGGACGTACAGAAAAATATTTCTGCAGTGTGTATGCTGGATGCATGGGAAGCAAACCTCTCATTTTAAACTTTATCTATGCAGAATGCCAATTTCGGTGCCTGTGACATCTGATGAACGGGTTTTCCTCTTCTTTTTCACTTGCAGCCAAAACTGGAGGTATTGTCACCCTCTCCTACCATGTTGTTTGGATACTACATTAGTATATTTTTTCTTTATAGATTTAAAGTTTGATATTACTGGGCTTCCTTTAATCTCTTTACTGGTGCATCTTGGAGTATGCCATCCACCAGGGGAATACACATTTTGCTCAGCAGCCCATGGAACTTTCACCAAAAGACATCATATTCGAGGCCATAAATCAGGTCTTAACAAATACACACACACACACACACACACACACACACACACACACACACACACACACACACGGAAACAGTTCCCTAAACTCTTAACAAACCATATGGAATAAAATTAAACATCATGGCAAATAAAACTATAAAAGCACATGGAGTATGAATAAATGCTTCTGAATGAGTGGATCGCTGAAGAAATGTAGAAAGAAATAAAAAGAAAATCCCAAACTAAATGAAGATTTAAAAACAAGAAAAACAGAAGAACACCTTTTCAAAACGTTGGAGGTACAGCAAATGCAGTGGTAAAAGGAAAGTTCACAGCCATGATGCCCACATTAAAAAAAAAACAGTGCAATTTCAAATACCTTAATAGTGCATCTCAAGTTCCTAGAAAAACATAAACAGACCAAACTCAAAACCAGTAAAATAAAAGAAATAAAAATTAATATGGATGGAAAAAGGAATATGGGTGGAAAAGGAGAACTTTTTTTTTTAAGCTGTACTGGGTTTTGAACTCAGGGTTGTGTACTTGCTAGGCAGGCACTCTACCATTTGAGCCATGCCCCAGCTCTATTTGCTTTTTAGTTATATTAGAGTATGGTCTACTTTTTGCATAGATTGGACCATAATCCTTTTATTCTTCCCAAATAGCTGAGATGACAGGTGCATGTCACCACACCAGCAACTGGTTGAGCCAGCGTCTCATAAATTTTCACTGGGCTGGCTTCAAAACACAGTGAGGATGGAAGCTATTTTAGAATTAGGTAATAGTGGAAGCTAGAAGAATTTGAAGGAGCATGCTAAAAAAGTTTCTATTACTATGAAGGAACTATAAAAGGATAAATTTAGTGAAGACTCAGAAGAAGAGATTCTCAATCTTCTAGAGAGTGGACAAAATCAGAATGTTGGGAGAAATAGAGATAGTAAAGGTCATTCTAATCAAGTCTTAGATGGAAATCTTTTTTGGAAACTAGAGGTAAGGTTAACTTTGTGAAAAATGTCAAAGAACTATGTTGTGTCCAATGTTTTACTGAAAAAAGAATTTAAGAGCAAATTTAAGGTTATTGGAAAGAAACATGTAAACAAATTGTTGAGAGTGGCATGATTTCTTTTGACAAGATGTAACTTACAAGGGAAACAGTTTGAAAATGGCAAAAATTCTTATAGCCTGGCCATATAAAAAAGGGGTGGAGGCATGACTCAAGTGATAGAATGCCTGCCTAGCAAGCATAAGGTCGTGAGTTCAAACATTAGTACCACCAAAAACAAAACAAAACAAAAAAAGGAAGGAACAGCATATTAAGGAAAGACTATCAAGTGTATGACCAAACAAAACTTACACAGATTCATATGGACATATTGGAGCCAGAGGCATTTTGGAGATCTTCAGTTCTGTCCCTGTCATCACAGGCCCACACTGACAGGGTTCTGACAGCATCTAAGGATGAATCAAGGACACCGTGGAATTTCAGGGATCACAGTCAAGTGCTGTCTCAAGTCTCTTGAATTGAATATTGGTGCAATGCTCTTTGTTGTCATAACTATGATTCAACTGGTCTCTGGAATAGCACAGGGTATACCTCTGTATGCCTTAATGGTGCCATTTGTGAGCAATAAATTCATGTTGAATATAATTTACTTAGTCTATAGCAGCAAGAAAAAGCTGAACAAATAGATTAGCGGTGGCAAAGCCTTATTAATTTTTTTAGTCCAAAATTAGCTTAAATTATTCCTAAATGGCTTATTTTGCTATACCTCTGATCATGTTTCTTAGTGAACATACTGATTACAAACTGATAACCTTCAGTCACAAGATAAATCATCATTTACATACAAAACATAATGCTGCATCTTTGTATATGGTTTCAGTAGTGTCAGAACTTACTCCCTTAGTTCAACTAAAACAGATACAACTAAGTAGAAATGGCCTATGAAAAACTGTACATTGTTCTGACACTGTTCCCTCTTATTGTGAAGAAGGTAAATAATTTGTGGCTGGCACCTTGGTGAAAATTATTATAGGAACTTCTGAATTTTTACTGCATCATCACTGTTTTCATTACAAACATCCAGTGGACCTGGTTTGAGAATTACAGCCTCTCTTTCACATTTGTAAGGAAGGAGAAAAACAAAATTGCAAGAAACATTTCCAGAATTTATACAAAACATGACTCCTAATAGACTTTCTATTTGAGGTAGGAAGATAAAAATGATTTCTTTTTTTTTTGCAGTATTGTGACTTGAACCCAGAGCCCACACCTTGAGCCACTTCACAGCCATTTTTTTTTTTTTTTTGTGAAGGATTTTTTAAGATAGTCCCTTGCAAACTATTTGTTTATGCTGGCTTTGAACAGCAACCCTCCTGATCTTGGCCTCCTAAGTAGCCAGGATAACAGGCATGAGTCACCAGCGCCAGCTAAAAATGTTTTTAGTTTAAAGAAACTAAGACTGGAGTAAAGGACTATAATTAAGTTTCTTAGTAACAAAACTGTTTGTGATGACCTGAGACACTGGCAAAGAAACTGGGAGAAGTACAGATAGAACAAGGGTGCAATAAATACTGGCAAGAAATATTCTAGAAAAAAATAATGACTGGTGTCAGCAGGAAGAAGAAAACATTTACATAGATTCAAACTAACCTGTGTGTCAGCAGCTCACACCTGTAGCCTCAACTATGTGGGAGATTGAAATCAGGAGTGTGGCAGTTTGAAGCCAGCCTGGGGAAAAAGCCTGGGAGATCCCATCTTAATCAACAGCTGGGTGCAACAGTGTATGCCTATCATCTCAGCTTCATGGGAGGTAAGGATCACAGTGGTAGGCCATCTACGGTAAAAAGTTCACAAGACCTCATCTCAACAGAAAAAGCTACATATGGTGGCATATACCGGTCATCCCAGCTACTGCAAAAACAGAATCATAGTTCAGACCAGCCTGGGCAAAAAGAAACACCCCATCATAATAAGAACTGGGTGCATGGCTCAAGCAGTAGAACAAATGTGAAGCCCTGAGTTCAAATGCCAGAGCCTCCAAAAGAAAAAAAGAAGTTTAAACTAGTTTGACAAAATTTGATTACAGAAAGAGATTAAGAGAAGCAAAAAAGAAGTTATATAATTTTACTACTAAGAGATACAATGAAAGGAGTCTAAACTAGTTAAGGGTTACTTAGCCTTGCATGATACATCAGTATTGATTACTAGAAGTAAGAATTCAAAATTTTCCACTTGAAAAAATAGGAAAAAGTGAGAAAGGTAAAATAATTTGTTTCAAAGTCAGTACAATCAGAGTGAGGACTCAAAGCCAACTGCATGTAGGAGGTTGGATCAAACAAAATGAAACAAAGTGAAAAGAGTTACTATACCCTATTACTAAAAAACAACAGTAATTAAGATGTTGTGATGTTGGCAAATGTATAGACATACGGTCAACAATGGAACAGAATGAAAGCACAGATATAGACATGTACAACTCCAACCAACAAATTTTTGACAAAGCAATCCAATGGAGAAAAAATAAATTTTTACTCAATGATGCTAGACATTCATGAGGCATTTAAAAAAAAAATCAAGTTTGGTTTGAGCTGGAAGAACTGGACATTTGTGGCTATTTAAAAACACAAAGCATGGGTTGAACTGTCCTAAAGTCTGATAAAATTTTCTCTCCTTAGCCTTCCCACATCCAGCCAAATATCATTACAAATTATGACAAGTTATTGGGATGTTTTCCAGCCTGAATATTCAACGTCTATAGTCCAAGAAATACAGATCAGATCTAGTTTCAAAACACACCCATCATTTTATTTTTAACAAAAGGAAGTAAATTAAAAATAGACAGCTGGAACAAGACTTTGTTGTTTTTCTCTATTCTTTCTTGCCTTAAACAAGTAATTACAACATACAGCGTCTTTTCTTACAATCTGAACCAAAGGAAGAAAAAGAGACAGGATGAAGGTGGAAGAGGCTCATTTTAAAGATACAAATTTGAGACTTACAAAAAGAAATAAAAGAATTGAAATAGAAAAAAAAAAAAGGTAACTTAGCCTTTCTCAAATTTTATTGTCTCTATACAGATAAGAATGAAGTTTGCTTAAGAATCACTTTCTGTATGTTATTTCCAGGAATGCTGCTGGGAAGAGGCATACAGGGAATGGCTCTCAGGAACTGAGCTTTAACACCCCTAGGAGTTAGGATATAAAAATCTGGAGAAAAATTTTACATAGAAAATAAACCCCTTCTTAGGTCCTGGCAAAAGGAAATTAAAAAAAAAATAAAAATAAATAAAAACAGCCATTTATTCTACTGTCATAACTCTTGCTGATGAGGGCAAGACAGGTGTAACCAAGGTGATAAAGAAGAAAAAGAGGTTGAGGAGCTTGGATCTTTCTGTTGTAAGCTATTCTTGTTCCTTTTCAAGATGGGGTGGTGGTCTGCAGAGGATGTCAGGAACATATTTTCCCCATCTATTTCCTTTTCAAACTGTTCTTTCTCAGGATTAATCCCTGAATTCCGGGCCCTTTTTGATGGCAGTTCTTCTTGAGTAAGATTTTCATTCTTCTTACTCTGACCCACTTTCTGCCTCCGCCGCTGCCGCTGCTGTCTCTCCAATGCCTGGTACCTTGTCTGAGTCTCCTGATGCTCAGGCTTCTCAAGCTACAATAATAAGCAAACAAGCAGAAAAAAGGTTGTGAGCCAGTAGTTAGGCTTGGGACTCCTTCTTGATTATCTTGATATTGGGCCCTGCCTATGACCCATCCCCTTACCTCCAGAAGTGTGTGGATCCGCTTCAAGTCTGGAGGCTGCCCAGCTTGTAGCAGCTGCCAGATGCTGTGGTTCTCATCCAGAGTTACTTCAAGCAGGTCACCCTCCATCATAAGTTCCTCCAGGGGTACCCGGGTTGACTCAGGCAATTCCAGCACAGGGCCAGTCAACTGTGGTAATAGTGAGGACAACAGCTCCAAATCTAAGAGATGTGGAGGAATGGCTATATTATTATTATAGGTTGGTCTCATCCACACCACAAAAGAGTCTAGGACCACATCAGTCATTCTGTTGATAGCCAGTCAATAGCTCACCCAGACCTAGATGTACTTCTCTTACCTGAGACCACCCCAGCAGCCATCTTCTTAGGACTGGTCACACTGTCTCCATTCAACAGCAACTCCTTGACCTAACAAGGATAGCAGGAATGTGTAACTTTAATTGAACTAGGAACCAAGGCCTATGTTTTCCTCTTCCAATTTTAAACCCAAGATCCTCCATCTCCTAGAGGAAGAAGGAAGACAGATTGCCAGCAAAGACCAGCATTTATTGACCTGGATGGATAGAGAAAGGCAGGAAGGCTAGATCAAAGGAGACTGACAGAGTTGTTACCTAACAGGAGTAGAGAATAGAAGACAAAAAGTTGAGGACAAGAGTTTGTCAGGGCAGCTTACCTTAGGGGTATCCTTGTTCTCTCTGAGAGAGTTAGAAGCATTATCTGACAAGTACATAGGGAACTCCTCCCATCTGGGTTCAGCCTGTAGTCGTCGTCGGAGTTTGGCAAGCTTTCCCAACAGAGCAGACACATCCTCAGAGGCAAGAGCCTGTCTGGCACGGCCTTGCCAACCAATGGCCCTCTCTGTGAGGCACTGCAAGGCCTCACCCTCGGGCAGCCGTACAGGAAGTCTCTGCAAGGCTACCAACAGTGCCAGTATGGTTTCTAGGCGTGGGCGCCGTGAGCGCATGCACAGTGGACATAAGAATTTGGTGTCCCATTCCCACCAGGCCTGAAGTGGAGATGAGGTGGAACTGGATCTTAGGGACCTGAGGAGGTGGGGCACTGTCACACACTGCCCATGGAACCAGTCCTGACACAGGTCACACTGCAGAGCTCCTACTCCTGCTGGTACCTGCCCACACACACAAACGGAAGTTGCAGAGGAAGCAGTGGTTGATGATGCCAGTAGATTGGACTTGGTTGAATTGATGCGACGCAGCTGCAAGATACCTTCTTTTTCCTTCTGCTCCCCCTCCTTGAAGGCCATGATCTGTTGTACCCAGGACCAGAGAGGAAAAGTTGTTCAACATCCCATTCTCTCTAGATGGTATATTCTACTCCCAAACTAGGAGAGCTAAGGGTTAGTGAGTAAGCAGTTTACCCATGGGTATTCAGCTCAAGTACACTGCCACTGCTGGGCTGTCTACTTTTCAGAGAGATACCAGTGTCATTGCTTACCACAGAGCCTGGATTCCTAAAGTCTTGTGCAGACAATCCCAGCAGGTCTGTGTCGTATTTGTACAACCCCAACTTCTTTTCCATCCACCGACTACGCTTGGTGTTGACTGAGCCAGTATCTACACATGGGCAGAGCACCTACCGCAGAAAGAAGGGAAAATGTCTTTCTTTTGCCTCCCTGATACCACCCAAAAGTTCACATTCTCTTATGAACTGTCTTAACACAACCAGGAACAGGTAGGTAATGCTTGCAAATCAAGGTGCTAAGTCTCACCTCCAGGAGAGTGTAGCAAGAATTCTTCTTGAGAAAGGTCTTGAAAGCCTTTTCCTTCCAGGAATGTGCTGTTAGCACCTGAATCTCTAGCTGCCTCAACTCCTCCAGCTCCACAGGTAGGTCCCGGCCCACAGCTACCAGGCCCTCCAAGTCATCTAAGCATGGGTAGTGGTCACCATTCTGAGATAGAGACAAGAGAAAGTTCAGTTAAATTATGTCATCAAGTATTATATCTGGATTTTTATTGAGCAAGGCTCGGTATTATTTGTATAACTGCAGATAATATACTGAGTATTCTGAAAGAAAAAATGAGATAACAGATACTTTTATACCAAATGTCCTTCTTTCACTGGCTCAGAACCAAAAATGCAATTTAGACCAGTTACTCTCTTAAGGTTTACTTCCTCAGTCTTCTATATTGGGAGTTTCTACTCAGCTTCAGCTCACATACTTCTCCTTTCTGTTTACATCTTGCTACCTTTAGTTCCCTCACTGAGCCCTCCAAATCCCATTTTCATTTTCTACCACAACCCAACTGGGTAAAAAAAAAAATTGACACAAAACATCTCTTATTTACTTGTAGGCCCACTTAGGAAAGTAGGAAACATATTTCTCACTTGAATCTCATTCACATCAGCAATCCAAGCCTGTGCTTTAGTTAGAGCTTCTTTCAGTGCCTGGATCTTAGGCAGATGAATGGGGATGTTTTCTGCCTCACGGATTATAGCCTCCAATGTGGCTGGAGGATGCTTTTGACTAAAATATTGGGAAAAGAGAAATTTGTTATTAAATGTTACACCCATCCCTTTTTTGGTCGTAGGTGTCCTTGCTAATGCATAAGCACAATGCCCTAAGTCTCAGGAACTCTTAAACATTGGCAGGTATGTATAGGTCACCTAAAAGTTACATAACGATATCTAGGATCCAAGAATAAACTCAATCAAGGAATACTTCCTAAATTATTACAATAATAAGGCATTGGGATGTCATATAAATGGAACTGGATTACATGTCATAACAATCCTTCAGTATTTAGCAAATGAGTGAGTTTGGCACCCAAGGTCACCCACAGAAACCATACTTTGGGTCAACCCCAAACTTCACAATAAAGACTGCCAGAAGGGTACATGAGGGAAGGGACTAGAACCCACCCTGCCTCCAGGCAAAAATGGGCCTTTTCTTCCCAGCACTCTGCAATGGTCAACAGTTCTTGGAGCTCAGCTCGGGCCTTGTCTACAGAAGCACTGGAGGATATCTTGGCACCCATAACCAACAGCCCCTGCATGATGACCAGAGAGCCCCTTTGGGATGAGGGGGCCAGTGCCTGCTTCACTTCGTCTAGCCATTGTGCCTGTTCCATCTGCTGCTGAAGCTGATGGGCTTCAGGCACTTCCACACCCAACTGCTGCCCCTTCTCCAAGAGGGACTGCAGCAGCCCTACACTACAGGGCAGTGAAGTCAGAGCCTCTTGGGCCTCGGCTTGGTAGGCTTCTACCTGTTCCAAGATATCCTGTAAGGAATTAGGACAAAAATGCAGATTTTTAGCCATCCAGATACATAACCAACTGACGTGAATCCATTCCCAATCTTCTCACAGTCATTTTGATTACTATATACTTATTTTAACCATTTTTTTTTTAAGCCATGGTAGAAGACATGCTTTTAGCTTAATAAAGCTAAAAGTTGTTTACATGAAGATCCCACAGTTATGTGAAATCTAGTTTTCCAGGCCTACCTTAATACAACCTTATCACTTTGAAAAGGCTCTTAAGAATCCATAAACCTCCTCCTTTCTCACATTTTCCAATTACAAGAGTCAGACTTTTATGTACTGGTACATTTACTATCTATTTAGTATATACAGTAACTTTTATTTGAAGACTATTCTTTGTACTATAACCTGAAATAATATGGACCACCCATCTCCATAGCTTCTAGGAAAGAATGTGGAATTATAATGGATTGTTTAAAACAAGAAGGTTCTCAAGCATCTCTTCAAATATTCTCCTCAATTATCTCTTGTCAACAAAAATTCAATCTTTCTAGGCCCTTTCTCACCTTAACATCCCCAATCTGATGCATAACACAGGGCAGGCTGCCCATCTGCTTAAGAAGGACCTGCAGTTCATTCAGGGTCAGTTGTGGGGTTTCCATCCTATAGAAGCCAGAGAGGAAAGACTTGCTCAGTGAACCTGCTAAGTCCTTACTTTAAGCATACTGAGAACTTGAACAATGTGAGTTCTCTTCCATGTTACAGTAGTACCTGGAAAAGTCCCTAAGCCAAAGAGTTAGGATGAAAATAAGCTTGACCCGTTATAGTTGATAGAAATTCTTGGTAGAGAAGAGCCTGAAATATCAATGTCAGATAACTCAATTTCTGAAGACATGTAATAATATGGATGCTGGTTCTACTGGATGGTTAGTACCATTATTCAGAAAAATAAATCGAGAGAAATAGTTTTCATTTTCAGAAAGAACAAAAATGTAAGATGGTTCCTAGTTTACAGTTCTATTCTTAATAGCAATTTAGTTAAAAGTAAAAATAATAAAAGACATACCAGGTGCCCGTGGCTCACATCTATAATCCTAGCTACTCAGGAAGCAGAGATCAGGAGGATCGCGGTTTGAAGCCAACCTTGGCAAGTGGTCTGCGAGACCCTGTCTCGAAAAAACCCATCACCCTAAAGAATTGGGTTGGTGGGGTGGCTCAGGGTGAAGGCTCTGAGTTCAAGCCCCAGTACTCAAAAAAAAAAAAAAAAACAAGAGAATGAAAGACATAAAAATATATACCCAATAGGATATAAGAGTACTAGCTAGTTTTCCACAAATGAAACTAAAGATAACTTTAGTTTCTTAATAACTTAGTAACTCTATTAACCCAGACACTAAAGAAAATACATTGTTTTTTTAAAACTAAATGACGGGGGGAGGGAGGGAAGAAGGAAAGAAAGGAAAAAAGAAAGAAGGAAGGGAGGGAGGAAGAGATGAAGCAAGGGAAAGAATGTGGGAGGAAGGAAGAGATTCTTTGTCAAAACTGGAATACATTCAAGTGAGTGTTAAGTTCTAAGATGCAGTCTTTGAATATAATGTTTACAATAAAAGAACAAAAGAGGTTACAAAGTTAGATGAATGAGAACTTGATAAATTAAAATTGTAAGCCTAAAGATAATGTACTGTACATTTCAAAGAGCTGGAAGAAGAAAGATACAGGCAGCATGTTGTTTCTCCTATGTGGAAGATGGATCCAAAAGATAAATGTATACACAAAGACAGGTATCTCTAGAGAGATACCTCTAGATATAGATACAGATATATCTATACTGATATAGACACAGGATATGTATATCTATGCTGATATACATATATAGCTATATCTAGAGATATCTCTATAGACAGATTCAGATATAGATATAAAGATATCTTGGACTGTTTGAATGGACTGGGGGAGGATGGAGAGGAAAAGACTATGATAGAAAATGAATAATATTGAAATATATAGCATCTGTGTAGGAAGAACACGTAACAAAATGCACAGAAAGCTGTTAAATAATAGGAAGTAGAGGGGAAAGGTAAGGGAGAATAAAAGGGTTAATATGATTAAGGTACAATATAGTCACAGGTGCCACATCATGCCAAACCTATGTGAACAATGTATACACACTTAAAAAATGAACAAGAATTTAAAGGTGCTATTATGGCATGAGTGCTAATGGGAGGGGAAGAGTGAATAAAGAGGGTAAAGAAGTGTGAATATGGTGTGTGTACTTTATATACTTGCATGAAAATAACAAAACCTGTCAAAATTATTTTAAGTAGCATGGAGGGGAAATGAGGGAGAATGATGGTGGGGATGAACTTAATCAAATTACATTGAAGCATATATGTAAACATCAAAATGAAACTCCCTGCACAATATATGCTAATAAAAATGTTGAAAAAATGATTTTGAATTCACCGCCATGCTATAATGCCATAATGATGCATTACTGGAATCTTCTGCAGATTCAATATTTAATCATTTTACTCATATTATTATTTTCCATTTTCTTGATAATTAGAGAAGATAACCTATTGCTTTATGAAATTTAATTCCTGGTGATCCCTTCATTTTTTTCTAATTAATAAAAAGATGTTTTTTAATGTAGAGAAAAAAAGCTGGAAGCAGAATTTTCAGTTTTCACTATAAAGAAATAAATGTTGAGGAAGAAACTGCTTCAAAATCATATACTTGTTTACTTTCTTGCTGCTCTTATCTGACACTAAAACAAATGAGAACAATTCCCAGATGTATCTAAAATTCCTTATTACGGTAACCTTCTTTATTCATGGACTTCATTCATGGTTAAAATGAAAGTGTGGAATTATAATTAATGATAATAATTATGAAAATCCAAAGACACTTCAGAAATGAAAAATTTTAAATACGTGCATGTGCATTACAAGCTCAGTCCCTGTTATTGTCAAATTGTTGTGTAATCTGCTGAGTATTTCCCTGCCCTAATTTTGTGAAAATATGCCCCATGAAATAAAACTAATACCCAAAAAGCAAGATTAAATTATGTTAAGCCTCCCAAGCTGAATGTGCTTAATTAAAGTGATAAAGTAAAAATTTTACATTTGTTGAAAGACACAATGTCTTTATGCAGAAGTTGGGTGGCATTATGGGAAAATAAATCAAGCAGCTATAGAAAGGACTAATTCTAACATCCTGAATATCTGAAGTCTTCAATGGCAGGTCCCTGGGAACTACATACTTATGGGAACTCAGGGTTGATTGTATTACAAATTCAAATTCTATTTGAATTTTTAAAAAATACTTGACTAAATACTGCGATTTGTTATTGTTATTTCTACTTTAATTATAATTTATAAATATTCAAGTAAAAATCATCTGATTTTTCAATATGAAAGGTAGCATGTGTATTAAAACATGCATTTGGAAATAAATCATTTAAATATTGAGAAATTTTTAACCTCCCAAATTTTATCCAACTACACCCAGGAATAAATTTTACATATTTTTTTAATTAATTAATATTTTTTGGCAGTACTGGGGTCTGAACTCATGGCTTCATCCTCAATAGACAGGTGTTCATCACTTGAGTCATGTCTCCAGTCCTTTTTACTTCAGTTATTTTGAATACAGCTTTTTGTTCAGGCTGGCCTGGATCACAAGCTGCCTATTTTAAGCTTCCAGCATTGAGATAACAGGCATGCTCTCCCATATCCAGCTTTTTTCAGTTGAGATGGAGACTTTTTGTCTGGGCTGCTCTCAAAACTGAAATCCTTCAGTAGCTAGGATTATGGGCATGAGCCATGGATGCTCAGCTTAAGAATAAATTTTGTAGGAATTCTGATGTCTTAGTAATTTTATGAGATTTGCTAACAAGTAAGGAAGGACAGTAATTTTGCTTCTGTATCTTCATTTTCACTGCCATTTAAGGTAAAAAGAGTATACTCTATTACATAATGTAGTTCAAATGATTTCTACTTTAAGAATTTCTAATTCATGTTGCATTATTTTTTGTTCATATATTATGTATTCATTCTCACTATAACTTGCCCAATATTGAATCCCTGCCTCTTACAATAAATAATCTTTATAAGCTTTGATTTCTAATATGGCCATAAATAACATATTAAATTTTGAACTATATTATAGTCTAGTCACTTTGATAATCATTTTCATCACTGCCACCTCTTTTGCTCTGTTAATTTACCTGGCCTTTTGGCTGCTGACTAGCCCCAGGACTTGGGAAACACAAGCCTCTGCCTCACTTAAGCAGTTCTTCAATCGTTGAAGCAACTCACTATTAGGAAATCTTCTCTCATGGGCCTCAGACTCCAGTGCCCTTAGTTCTTCGAAGCCTAGAAAGAGAACCCAAGTTGAAAGAGGTAGGCAGTGTTATGGAAAGGCAGAAAAAGGTAGCTGAAAGTACTGGAAAAAAGAAATAGAGCTTGCTTAAGCAGTCCTTCAATTTCCCACTACTCACTGCGTTTTCGGCCATCTTCCACCTCCAGAGCCACTCTTACTTTGTTGGCCCAGCTGTCAAAAGACTCAGCCCGAATCTTTAGCTTATGCAGCATGGCAGGCAGCTCATCCAAGGTATACCGATAGCTGGAGAAAGAAGACATGGAACAGCACATCTGGCCCAGCTTTGTAACTTCCTCCATCTCTTTCATGGAGGATCCATACTCACCGCAGGTACTGTCGGCTACTTGAGCACTTGCAGAGATCACTGATATGGGAAAGGCAAACCAGGCCATCTGGGCAGTCATAGCACGCCAGAGCTGACAGGAAGCATGTAGTCTTGCACTTGATGCACTGACGCTCATCATCTGGAAGCAGCTCAAAAGCCTCTCTCTCAGCCTCCGTGATGCCCTGGGGGTGTTCAACCCACACACACTGTAAAGACTAGAAGCAGGGTTGTGGACACCCCACCTCAGACAACACTGAGCCCTGCTGTGTGATCAACCTTGTAAGAACAGCTGCAGAGAAATCGGGAGAAAAAACATATAAACACATACAGTCTCTGTCCTTCCATTTCAAAATACATGACTTAAAAATAAAGCATAGAGGACTTACTCAATGTTGGTCTGTGTCTCTCTAACACAGTATATTTGCTGAATCCTTAAGCCCTGTTTTCCACCACCCACCTTCTCCAACAAGGTCTTTCGTAGACGTCGCTCCTCCTGTACCATAATAAACATTTCCTTGTACACAGCCACTGCTAGATTCAGATCCAACTTCTCTGGGAATGCAGCCATCTTGCAAATAAGCTCTTCATGGGAGAAGACACAATAGCGCCGTAGCCGGCGGTAGTGGTCAATACACTGGCGTCCAGTAGGTAGCTGTAAGTGTGTTTAATACTGTATGTGGCTGGCTGTTTCTCCACAATGACCCCTACCATGTTCTTTACAACTTTCTACCTGCAGGTCCGCCAATTCTAGACTCACCCAGTCAGCAGTGCAAAAGTTGACAGCCTCAGCAAAGTTATAGCCTTGGTTAAAGCCACTGTGGTAAGCACGAGGAAAAGTGATGACAAACTCCCCAGCACATTGGTTTGTGCGGACAACCTGAAAGAAAGAAAACAGAAAGTGGTATGAGTGAGAACTAATGATGGCATTCTGATTTAAAAATGTATCACATACTATTATAGATATAGAGAAAGAGTAGAAAGAAAGACTATCTTCGAATGCATGCCTTAATAGGAAAATAAGACACTGTGGTAGATAAAAACTAATAGAGAAAAGTACAAAGAAAAATAATGTATTAACTTTTTTGGAAGGACTGGGGTTTGGACTCAGGGTTTCATGCTTACAAAGTAGTAGTCCACTGTACTCTGGTTATTTTGGAAATGGAGTCTCACAAGCTGTTACCCTAGCTGGCCTCAATCTGAAACTACCCCCATTCTCATCTCAGCTTCTCAGCTAGCTTGGATACAGGCATAACCCACCAAAGCCTGGCTAGGTGGTGTGAACTTTAAAATTTTGTCCCTCTAAAAACATGTTGAAAAAGAGGCAAAAAAGTATCAAAACAATGTAACAAATCATAAACTTGCAAAATTGAGAACAATTAATAAAGAAAAAAACTTGTGAATTATGATGCTACTGATATCCTAATTCACATACACACACCCTACACCCATCTCAGAAGCTTTATCTTATACTCAGAAGTATATGACAGTGGTACACTTTGCTGCTGCCAAGGTGTATATGTATACCTTGTTTTCAAAGAACTAAATTATGTTCTGATCTGTCTAATGGCTTCCAACAGGATCACCTCAAGGACTTGACTTTATTTCACCTGCCTGCAGGTTTCCCCAAAACAGAAAAGCCTTTCCTGGCTATAGTTACTAAAAACAAGTAAGGACAAATGTATCTGCCACAGCTGCTTGTGGTAAAAGAAACAAGACTGGGCAAACAGTAGACATTCTAAAATACCTGGAAAGAAAAGAATGGAAGAAGTGATATGGCTATAAATAAGGATTCATAAGGACTCTGAAAACTTCCTTTACATTCTTATGTCTAAGCCAACTTGCATGCTCAGAAAAAACCCTAACAAGACCCTAAGCTTTCATCTCTAACTTTCATATTCTGCCCAAGCAGAAGGTAAAGACCGAAACAATTTTAAACAGCTCTTAAAACATATCCCACAATATAACAATCAGCAAAGTGTGACAGAGGTGTTTTCTTGGTTTTCTTAAAGCTGTTGTTATATGACCATCATGTCAATAGAACACAGAAAAGGAATACAGACTTTACATGGTTACTCAAGCATATAAAAAGATGCTTAAGGGATACCCTGTCTTGGGACTCTTCCCAAATTCTGGAGGCTGTACTCTTCCACTTTATACTTTTCTAGCTCAATAAACTCTCCCACTTAAAAAAAGAAAAAAAGATGCTCAACATCATTAGTTACTAGGAAAATGTAAATCAAAAGCCACAAGATATTGCTATTATGGCCATTTTGAAGGTCACTTGCCAGTATGAAAAAAAAAATAGAGGGAGACAGTAAGTGTGGTTTTCTTGTCTTTAAAAACAAAAATAAATGCAAACTTAATCATAGCTCTGCCTAATGTGGCAGAAGGTAAGGAAACAAGGTTTGCTAAATTGTAGTAATAGGAAAGTAGTAGTCTCATAAACTACAAGTGGCCCATTCTATATTACTACAGTGAAAGTAAAAAAATAGTAACAATAATAATAATCAGCAGTGCACCTATGTGATCCTAGCTATCTGGGAAGCTGAGATCAGGAAATTACAGTTTGAGAATAGACCAGGAAAAAAGTTCAGAATGCTCCATCTCAACCTGGGAATGGAGGTATGCACTTGTCATCCCAGCTATGCATAATTTAAATGACTGCTGTCCAAGCTGGCCTGAGCAAAATGTGAGACCCTACCTCAAAAATAACCAGAGCAAAAAAGACTGAAGGCATGGCTAAAGCAGAATACTTGCCTAGCAAGCGCAAAGCCCTAGGTTCAAAACTCCAGTACCAACAAAGAGAGAAAAAAAAAAAGCAGGACAAGGTTCAAGGTAGAATTTATAAAATGAAGCCAAGCCCTGGTGGCTCACGCTTGTAACCCTAACTTAGGAGGCAGAGATCATGAGAATCTCAGTTTGAAACCAGTCCAGACAAGCAGCTCCATGAGACCCTATCTCAAAAAACCCTTCACAAAAATAGGGCTAGCAGAGTGGCTCAAGGCAAAGGTCCTGAGTTCAAGCTCAGTGTTACAAAAAAAAAAAAATTATAAAATGTCAGAACAAGAAGGGAGTCTTGAAGACACCAAGCTCATTTTGTTCAAATGGAAAAACAGAGGGAAATGGCCATGAAAGTTATTAAAAGTTGTGTGAAGGTTAACTTAGAACTCAGGGAAGTTTAAATAAGAAAAAGTACAGCACGATGCTAGAGTGCTCTGCTTTATTTACATCCTACAAATACCTGACTTATTCTTTTGCAAAACAAGCTGATACTCATAAATCCTGGAAATTCCTGAAAGTATACATCTACTCTGTCATCCCCACTGAGGTTTAACTGGTCAAATTTACACATAGTAATGTCAAGACAAAACCAATCCTTGATTAGGAGGAAGATGTAGGTTTTAATTTTTATGTTGTTAAATAATTACATCATCTGTCCTTTCTCTTCCTTTTCCATAGCCAAGTGAACCATACAGAACTATAACTTGATGACAGTAAAATGCATGTTAACTCTGTTTCCACCAAAACTAAGCTCTTCTTCATTCCCTCCTCTTCCTAGGATAGGCATGACATTTGCTTTTTCCCTTTGCACCTCATTTGCAGATACTCACTGGTACGCCATGTGACATAAGAATGTTGGGATTCATAAGAGTGACAAGTTGGTGTAACAGGTCAGGCTGGCTATCAAATAGCTCAGGTGTCAACCTCTTCATCACCTCCTCCAAATGTTCTGCTGCCAGTGAGGGTACTCCATACCAGGTCTTTGGCTCACCCCTGTTCAGGAAGAGATACATGAAGTCTGGACAGATCCTTGCATATGGAAGGGGTATTGATATTCATCCCAGTTATAGGGATATCACTCACCAGTGCAGGTAGTTAATGGAGTAACTCCAGTGATCCTCAATATGCCAACAAAATGCTGAAAAAACCATGCCCACATACAGCCAAGGCACTTTCATGCCTGAGATGTCTGCATTGATGTGACAGAGAACAGACTGATCCAGCACTGGCATCACATTCAGGTTCCAACCACTGGCTGCATACTCCTGTTGGGTCAAAACTTTGTCAGAATGGGTATAGAACAGGATTAAGTGAAGAAAGGCGAACTGAGTCAGACATACAAAGAAAAACAATTGTGTTCTTGGAACATGTTGCTTGTTGTAATTCATGGTCCCTCAAGAGATTGGTATATGATTTCTGAATGCAAACCTTTATTTCTGTAAAGAAAAAAGCACTATAACCTAAAATACTAATGATCCATAATCCAAATTAAGATTCATAAACCTCAGAAATTAACAAGCACTCTTAATAAATGTTCTTTAAGACTACTTTGTTCCACTTGTTAGCTAACTGCCACTATGCTCCAGTTATATTATCAGGCCTCTAACTAAAATACATAGTATTTTAGATATTATATAATATATAATGCTACTATTACAAATGCAAGGCTTTTACATTTTTCCCAATGTCATAATCACATTTGGCTATTAAGTGCTTCTGTATTACTAGTCAAAAATATTTATTATGCTCTAGATCATGCCCAAATATTAGTACTATTCTGGGTACTTTTGATAAGATATTTTAGGTTATCATACTTCTAAACCACTAGATTACTATTGTGTTTTACTCATTTTTTTCCTTTGTTGTTTTGAAACTAAATTTATTAATGTATTTTTTGAAAAGTAACAAAAAGTTGTTGACCAGATACATTTCAGCGAAATTTCAGAGCCAGAAAATTTCAAAGACATATTCTCCACAGAAAGACTGGAATAAAATAGGCAAAATTATCAAATTCAAATTTATCAGAACTCTGGGAGTAAGTAAAAACACCAAAAGAGCCTCACAATATTAACTCCCCTTTCCCCATCCTCTACTCCCTAGCTGAATAGTAGTTGAAGATGGGAGTGCACATTTCTGCCATAGATTCCTTTTATCAAAGAATTGTTTTGCCTAATATAACCATTTCAGGGTTAGAAAACAGCTACTTGGAGAAGAAAATACTGTAAGGTAAATGAACTAGTCACTCTGTCCTAGAACAAAGAATAGCAGTTGGGGCAAACAACAGACAAAACAAAAAATCTGGGAGTGACCCTTTAGGAATTAAGAGCTATGGAAATCTTTCACATGTTATAAGGTATCTAGGAGACCATATACAAGTATTATAGGGAGTAAGCTCAAAAGAGAATCTTAAAATTTAGAAATCCTCAGCATTTTACCTATAACTGGCCTTCATGCACTGTGAAGCTAAGGAAAAATTATATGTGGTCTAAGCCTCAAAAGGTCACACATAAAACCAATTTACAAAGAATGTAAGAATATTTAAAGACAACATGTGCCAGGGGACTGGTTGTGTGGCTTAAATGGTAGAGTACCTGCTCTGCAAGTGCAAAGCCCTGAGTTTAAACCCCAGTCCCACCAAAAAAAAAAAGAAGACAACATATGACAAAGAAGATTGCTAACAAAAATTATTTAGAGCTGCTAAAAAGTGGTTAAGTGGTTCACACCTATAATCCTAGCTATTTGTGAGGCTGAAATCAGGAGGATCACAATTCAAAGCCAGCCTAGACAAATAATTCATGAGACCTCATCTCCAAACAAATAAGAGCAAAATGGACCAGAAGTCTGGGTCAAGCAACAGAGCACCTGCTTTGCAAGCATAAAGCCTGAGTTCAAACCCCAATTCCACCAAGAAAAAGAAAAAGAAATTCTCTAGGTAAGTCACTACAATTCTTCTCTGTGTGTGGGAAGGGGGAGGAACTGGGATTTGAACTCAGGGTTTTGTATTTGGAAGGCAAGCAGAAAGTCAACATAAATATAAGCCACAAGAGGCAGAAACACTAAATTCTTAGAAGAAGGAAAATCTGATTCCTAGGATTATCACATTAAAAACTAGAAAATATGACCAACAAAAAGAGGGGAAAAAATCATAGAAACTATCCCTGACAAAGCAAGAAAACAAAGAATTTTGTAGAAAAAGAGGAAATTGAGTGTCTTAAATATACTCAAAAAACTGTAAAAAACCCATTGGCAGGGGGAGAAGAAGCCAAGAGAACACTCTTTCCACAGTCTCTTTAAGGAAAAAATAGAAAGTATAAAAAGGAAGTCAGGTGTGTTGGTACATGTGTATAATCCCAGCTACTTGGGAGGTAGAGGTAGGAGGATCATAGTTCAAACCTGTCAGGCAAAACAGGCTAAAAGCAAAATAGGCTGGAGACCCCTTCAGATCAAGTGGCAGAGCATCTGCCTGATAAGCACAAGGCCCTGAGGGAGGGAAGGATTGAGAAACAGAGGGAGGCTGAGATCAGGAGGATTGAACACAGTTTGAGGCTAGCCTGGGCAAATAGTTCTCAAGATCCATTATCTCCAAAACAATCAGAGCAAAATGGACTAGAGGTGTGGATTAAGTAGCAGATTGCCTGCTTTGCAAATGTGAGTCCAAACCCAGACCCAACAAAAAAACAAAACAAAAGAAACAAGTCCTTTCATTATAAATATCATAGCTAAGATTGCAAAATGTTAAGGGCTCAATATTTGTACCCCTCAAAATTTTATGCTGAAATTTTTGGAGGTAAGACATTTAATTAAATAACAGAGTGGAATCTTCTCATTAATAGGATTAGCAATTCTATAAAATGAGATACTAGAATTTAATTTGTCTGCTCTTAGTTAGACAGGATATTAAGGACAAGATAGGTAACTGCAAAACAGGAATAAGGCCATCACCATGAACCTGGTCATTCTGAGCACCCTGACCTCTGACTTCCTCTATCTAGGACTATGAGACATAAATATCTGTTGTAATTTAAGCCATCCACTATCTAAGACTCTGAGATAGAAGCCCAAACTAAAATAAAGGTTCCTCAAACCGATACTTGTTTTTAAAAGGCTATCTCTAATTGACTCTAATATCAGAGACAATGATGAAAGACAAAAAACTTTCCCTCTAAACTCAGGTATAGCACCTAGCTCAGAATTTTTTTTAAAGCAGGACAGTATATCTCAGTGCAGCATATGCTTACCATGTATGAACACCTGGTTTCTATTCCCAGGACCTGAAAAAAAAACCCCAAAAATGGAAGGTAGAACTATTATCTCTATTTACGTATCACACGATTTAATGCATAGAAGACTGTAAATCTCACAAAGACCCATGCACAAACTGAGGTAATAAATGAGTCCAACAAAGTTGAAGAAAACAATCATACAAAGTTTGGTTTTCACTATATATATGTACTGAATTGTTCTGTAGTCCATTAATATTTACAAATATTGTGTATCAATAAAAAAACCATAAAACTCAAAAAAATCTGTTTCTATATACCAGAACAGTATGAATATCCATTAACATCAAAAAGGGCAAAATACCTAGGAATAAACTCAATAAACTACATGAAAAACTTAATACATCACAAAGCACTACTGACAAAATTAAAAGCAAAATCACATCAGTGACTGTTTTAGAAAATTTAATATTGTGTCTTAAATATAAATAATAAATAATATTGTTGTCTTCAACACTCCTCAAAGCAAACTACAGGTTAAATGCACTATCTATTAAAATTCCAATGATACTTTTAGCAGTAATGAGAAGTCAATTCAAAAATTCATACACAACTGCATCAGACCCCATATGTCAAATTTGGAGAATTTGGCCATTCAAACTGGAAAACTCACACATTCAAATTTTAAAACATATGCAAAGCTACAATAGCCAAAATTAACTGGTACTGGCATAAGAACAGAGATTCAAAATGAGTCTATAAAGAACTTCACCTTTTCTACAGTCAATTGATTTCATTATGACTGTGAAAATCATTCAATGGAGAAAGATGGTGCTGTGACTAGTGAATATCCATATGCAAAAAATGGATCTAGAATTATTCTTTATACAAAATTTATCAAAATGGCACAAAGACCTAAATGTAACAACTAAAATATAAAGTTCTTAGAAGAGGGCTATGAGTATAGCTCAGTGGCAAAATGCTTGCCTAGCATGCTTAAGGTCCTGGCTTTGGTCCCAGCACCTCAAAACAAATTATTTTAAGTAAATAAAATTCTAGGAGAAACAGGAATATATCTTTATTACTTTCATTTTAGTATGGATTCTTCAACTATAACAACATAGCTGGGTTCTGGTGACTCCTGCCTATACTCCTAACTACATGGGAGGCCGAGATTGGGAGAATCACAATTTGAGGCTAGCCTGGACACACAACCCCATCTCCAAAATAACCAGACCAAATGGACTGGAGATGTAGCTCAATAGGTAGAGTGACTGCTTTGCAAGTATGAAGCCTAGAGTTTAAATCCCAGTCTCACTGAAAAACTAAAAAAGACGTTAAGTATGAGGAATAAAAATCACATTAATTAAACAAGCAAGCAAGGAAGAGCACAAGTGTAATCCCAGAAGGAAAAATAAATAAACTAATATTATCCACCCTGAAGTCCTAGAAAAGTAAGAACAAGTCAAACCCAAAACTAGTTAAAAAAACAGTAAAATAAAGATCACAGTTGCAATTAATGAAATAAAGACAAAAAGAACAACATAAAAGATTAAGGTGCCTGGCACCACTGGCTCACACCTGCAATCCTAGCTGCTCAGGCAGAGATCAGGAGGATTGAAATTCAAAGCCAGCTGGAGCAAATAGTTCACTTAGGCTAGTGGAGTAGCTCAAGGTGTAGGCCCTGAGTTCAAACTCCAGTACTGCAAAGGGGAAAAAAAAAAAAGGATTAAGAAATCAAAGAGTTGGTACTTGGAAAAAATAATCAATATTGACAAAGTCTTAGCCAAAATAATCAAAAGAAGGAGAGAGAAGACTCAAATAAAATTAGATGAGGAAAAAAAGGACATAGAGGCAGAAACCACTAAAATTCAAAGGATAATTATGGAGTATTTTGAAAAATTATACTGTAACAAGTTGAGGAATCTAAACAAAATGGACAAATTTCTAGATATATTATAAGCTATCAAAACCAAACCTACAAGATTAAAAACATAAATAAATAGAACTGTAACAAGCAAAGAAACTGAAACAGTAATAGTCTCCAAACACAGAGAAGCCTAGGACTGGAAGAATTCACTTCAAAATTTGACCAGCTCCTTGAAAAAATAACATCAACACACCACAACTATTCAATGAAATAGCAAGGGAAGAAAGTCACCAATCATGAAGCCAAGGTTACCTTAATACCAAAACTGGGTAAGGATACCACTATAAATCACATTTGTGTTTAAAATATGACCACACAGCTAGGTGCCACTGTCTCCTGCCTATGATCCTAAATGCATGGGAGGTATAGATTAGGAGGATTAAAAATTCAATTTCCTTGATGAACACAGAGGCAATATTCTGAATAAAATACTTGCAAACCAAATTCAGCAATACATTAAACAGGTAATACATCATAATCGAGTTGGTTTCATTCCAGGGATGCAAGGATGATTCAACATGAAAAGAAATGAATGCAATATAGGACTTAAAAAGAACAAAAGACATAAAAATCACATGGTTATCTCTGATGGAGAAAAGCCTCTGATAAAATTCAACATACTTTCACAAAAAGGAACTCTGAAAAAAAGGATAGAAGGAATGTACCTTAACATAATAAAAGCTATATATGACAAACCACTGTAAAATAAAGGGAGAAAAAGTAAAAGAATTGCCTTAAGATCAGGAACAAGAATAGGGTTTCTACTATTTACACTCTTACTCAATATAGAACTTGAATTCTCAGCTAGAAGGCAAGAGATAGATATAAAAGGGATACAGATTGGAAGGAAAAGTCAAATTATCCCCACTTGTGGATGACATACTATGCTTGAAAAATTCACCAAATCACCCAGATTTAATAAATACTTTTTAAAATGTAGCAAATACAAAATTAAAATACAAAATTCAGTAGTTTCTCTACATATGAATGATTAACATGCTTAGAAAGAAATCAGGAGAACAATTCCATTCATAATAGCCTTAAAAAAAGGAAGGAAGGGAGGGAAGGAGGGATGGAGGAAAGGAGAGAGTGGGGAGCAGAGAGAGAGGAAAAAAAAAAGATAGCAAAGGATGTAAAAAATCTCTACAATGAAAACTTTTAAAGTTTAAAGAAAGAAACTGAAGAAAACACTAGGTAGAGAAAACTCCCATGTTCATGGATCAGCACACTTAATATTGCAAAGATCACAATGTAACCAAAAATAATTTAGACTGAACACAATCTCCACCAAATTCAGGTGATATTCTTAACAGAAATAGAAAAATCTACCCAACTCATATATAAGGAAAAGAGTCTGAATAGCCCAAGCAATCCCAACGAAAAAGAACAACACTGGAAGTATCACAATACCAGACTTCAAATTATATTACAGAGCCATAGTAATAAAAACAGCAAGGCAGTAGACAAAAACAGACACACAGACCAACAGTATGGAAGATCTAGAAATAAACCTACACAGCTATAGCCATTTAATTCTTGACAAAGGTGCTAAAAATGAATGGTGCTGGGAAAGTGGATATGCACATGTAGAAGACTGAAACTAGACTCCTATTGTTCACCCTGTATAAAAATCAACTCAAATGACCTTACTGTCAGACCTGAAAACTTTGAAACTACTACAGGAAAACATAGGGCAAACACTTAAAGATAAAAGCAAAGGCAATGACTTTCTAAATAGGCTCCAATGGTTCAGAAAATAAAAGCAAAAATTGATAAATGGGATTACATCAAATTAAAAAAAGCCTCAATAACAGAATGCTGCCTCCCATGCACAAGGCCCTGGGTTCAATCCCCAACAGCAGATCAAAGGGGTGGAGGTTAAAGAATTTAATTTAGGAAAAAACCAAATAACACATGTAAACTACATAGCAAAAGTGTAAGTTTAAAACAATATGTACATGGGGGTACATCTGTAAGACACCATAAATATGAAGCTCATTATACAGAAAAACAATCTTTAAGTGCCTGCCTAGTAAGCATGAGGACCTGAGTCCAAACCCCAGTACCACCCAAAAAAGAAAAAATTTAAAAGCACACTCCAAATTTTTCACATCAGAAAGGTAAAAAGAACAGTAAAAGTCTACTACTTGGTTGTGAGGAGGGATAAAATACAGTGTTAGTTATAGTTGAAACAAAGCATTATAAATAATATGTAGCTAGCAGAATGGCTCAAGTGGAAAGAGTACCTGCCTAGCAAGTATGAGGCCCTGAGTTTAAGCCTCAATGCTGCCAAAAACAACCAAAACAATATGAAAATAAATAATATGTAGTTGGGTGCTGCTAGTTCACACCCGTACTGCTATTCAAGAAGCAGATATCAGGAGTATCAGAGTTCAGTGCCAACCAGGAAAATAGCTCTTGAGACCCAGTCTCAAGAATATGCAGCACAAAAAAGGGCTGAAAGAGTGACTTAAGTTGTAGAGCACCTGTCTAGCAAGCAGTGAGGCCCTGAGTTCAAATCCCAGTATTAAAAAAAAAGTATATATTTGTTTTTGCATAGTTGCCAAAATAATACATGCAATACCACCAGGTGACTAACAAAGTGCAATGCAGAATAGTGCAAAAGGGTTGGCACAGTGGCTTTACCAGTGAAAGCACCTGCCTAGCAAGCATGAAGCCCTGAGTTCAAACCCCAGTGTTGCCAAAAAAGAAAAAAAAGATAAGTGCAATTGTGGCTTAGATGGAGATAGGGAGAATTGGATTCCAAGCCAGTTCTGGGATAAAAGTTAGTAAGACCCAATCTCAACAAAATAGCCAAGTGTAGTAGTACAGGTCCATGATCCCAGTTATGCAGAAATTGACAGGTAGAAAGATTATGATATAAGCTGGCCTCCAGGAAAAAAAAGAAAACAACAGCTTGCCTAAAAAACAACTAAAGTAAAAGGGTTGGGGATGTCAGTCAAGTGGTAGGATGCCAACCTACCAAGTATGAGGACCAGATTTCAAAGCCCAGTACTGTCAAAAAAAAAACAAAACAAAAAAATACAAGTATACAGATATATATATATATATATCTGTATACTAGTGAAACTAAGAAGTGATTAACAATGGAATGAAAAACACAAGGAAAGGTAGTAGAAATTTGGTTCAAAATACAGAAGTAAAAATGGATGTTAAATATCAGTAACTGAAATTCATGAAAACCAAGTAATTCTCACTTAAAAGATGGAAACTCCTCAACTGGATTTTTAAAAAAACAGCTCCATATTAGTTTTAATTTATATACCTGAAGACTGAGTATACAGAAAAACATATGGCAGGTAAAAATCAGACCTAGGATCTAGGAAAAATTAAAATGAATGGGACATAGGAGCAAGAAAGAAACCTCAGTGTTTATTTTGTTTATTAATAAAAATTATAAAATTAATTATAGTAAAACCCATTATAAACAGGATTACTATATACAAATATACTGCATATACTCACGTATCTACACATTTATACATACACATATATATATTATATATATTAAGATGTCTAAGGTTTCTAATAATTTAGCAGGCAATGTAAAGTCCATGCTCTTAAAGGCCTACAACTTAAATAAACTAATTAAAAGTGGATGGCCTCAGTATTAAAAAAAAGTAAAGCAGTAGCCAGTTTCAGTGGCTCACACCTGTAATTCTAGCTACTTGGGAGGTTGAGACTAGAAAACTGAGGTTTGAGGCCACCCCAAATAGTTCATGAGACCCTATCTCCAAAATAACCACAGCAAAATTAGTGGAGTCATGGCTGAAGTTATGCTTTGCAATCACAGCCAAGTTGAAATCCAAGTCCACCAAAATAAACAATAAAGCAACAATGACAACATTTTAGACTCTCTAAATTAGCAGTCTGACAATATTAAGTGCAAGCTGGTTAAGATAGATTTCTCACTAATTTGAGTGTAACTTGGTAAATTTCTTTGTAAAACAACTGAAAATATCTTTCAATTCCAACTCCAAATATATACCCTAGAAACTCTTACTTTAGTAGACATGAACGTGTCCATACTTTATCAAGTAAGTGCTGGAAGCTACCAAACAAGAAAATAGATAAATGGTGGTATAATACCAGATGGAACACTAATCAACAGTAAAAACATGAATTAAAGCCATAGCAACAATATAGGTAAATTTTTTTCAGATGAATTTTAAAGCATAACTGTGAGCAAACAGTGCATGTCATTTATATACAAAGTAATATTTAGAAAGCTCAAAACTAAACTAATATGAGCTTTAGAAATATACATCTGGTGTCAATATTGTCTACACATGTATTTAAATGGAAAAATGAGACCTGTTGGAACTATTCCAGGAATGGGGGGAGGGGAAAAAGCTATGATCTATTGTAAGACCTTTTGTAAAGGTCACAATATACCCCTTTTTTAAAAAAAAAGAAATATACAATATACGACTTTTTAAAAAAAAATAAATGTACAAATGAAATTAAACAATAAAAATTTAAAGAAAATCATTATTAATGATTAAAGTTATGATTAATGCATGACAGGAGTTCTTTTGGGGTTATTGGGGAGATAGAACTTGTGGAAAAATGGAGGTAGATGTATTCATTTGAGAACTTCATTTCTTAGGTTTAAACATGGATTTAAAAATATATTTAATATTATGTTTTACAACTAAGGGACTAAATTTTTTTGTGATTTCAAAATATCATAATAAGGATTAATATAAATTATCAGCCAAATTACCTGTTCTTCAGGGGATAGAGCCTGTTCGCTATTGCTGACAGGAAAGCCACTACCAAATTCTTTGGAATGAATATCTGCTCCATACTCAACTGTCACATCCTCCTCAATGCTGCTCACCAGCCTCCAGAATTCCTTTTCCACAACTTCTGTAGGCACCATCTAAGAAAAGAGGTGAAAAAATAATCATATCTCACTACTTTTTACCCCATATCTCCATTAGAACTAAAACCACCAGATATTAATCCATGTGGCCTGAGCCTTCAGTCACATACATGTACCGGCATGTTGAAGTAGTCAGCCTTGAATGAATCAGCCATCTCACCAAAACTCTGCAAAGTGTACTCCTGGGTGGCCTGCTCAAAGCCAAAAGCTTCAGGGGGACGCTTACATTCCTGAAAAAGAAAAAAAAAAACAAAAGAACTATTTTAGCAAAGGAAAAAAAGAACACAAAAAGTACCAGGGGAGGGAAAAACAAGGTTCTTCAGGTTGCATTCAATATCTTATAACTCTACCTTTTCTTATGTTTCCACTTAGGATACTTGCTTTAGTATGTACTAAACATTTTTCTTTTATCATTGCTAGTATGGTTCATGCCATCTGTATTATCATTCTTTCTCTCATTCAATTCTCTACTGTCCTATATTTTGCCTGTCAAAAGTATTTTTTTGCATACTGACAGCTAATCAATAAAGGACAGGAACTATCACCCACTTTTAGTTACACTTAAATTCAGAAGTACAAATGAGAGAAAATTACCAAGAATTAAAATTAAAGTATCATGAGGGACAAGCCTTACCGCCAATATACACTTTGGGCACCTCCATATCCCTCTGGGGATTTCAGGAAGAGGTGGCAACAGGCAGAAGATGTGGTAATTATCATCACAGCCATCACAAAGAAGAAGCTTATCATCTTCATCTCCTCGAGAACATATCCGGCAAACATATGAATCAATCTACAATGGTAAAGTAAATACATAAACTATTTCCTTCATTGTCTGTAATCTACCTACACCATTCATTATGAATACTCACCATAATGCAATGTGAAAACTCTTTAAGAGTTCTCTATCTGGTAGAAAATATAACAGAATCATTACCAAATAATAAAACATATTAATCAATGATTAAAGCCAAAATCAGGAAGGTATAAATTAGCATGGATCATTTAAAGAATTACATTTTATTTAAAGTAATAGTGCAGACGGAAAGATAAGCATCAGGTAAAGTGACAGAATAACCAGGTATACCTGTACCTTCAGTTTAGCAGATGTCCATTTTCATTCTAAAATCTCTCATTTAGACAATGAGTTAGATAATCACACAAGAAGTAAGTCACAAGAACGAACATTATGGGAGGGTTTAAGAATTTGGATTCTTACATATTATTGAAAAAAAATCTAGCACTAGGAGTTAAAAACAAAAACACCAACAAACTTCTCAGGGTGGATTCAAATTTTTAAAAAATTATCTGCATTGAGTAGGATGGAATAACCCCAGAGTATATAGAAGCAAACTGAAAGTAAATGGAAGTAAACAGAAAGTTAAGAAAAAGAAAGGAACAGGAGAAAAAATTTGCTGAATGTGTAGAGGACTATATAATACAAACACATACAGATTACAGACATACACATACACCTGATGTATATGTATAGATTACCATACCTGACAAATTAGAAATCAACAAATAAGATAAGAACAGGAAATCCAATAGACTTGTGAGCAAAATAAAGAAATAAAATAAAATGAAGAAATCTCAATGAACATGAAAGCTGCTCAAGATGAAATTTAGTGAACACATGCAACAACTGAAACTGTCATCCATTAACTAGGAGGAAAGTAAAGTGATCAATCATTTTTGAGAACAGAATGACCTCATACTGAAAGTACACAAAACTTCAATCACAACAATTCCAGTCTTATTTATACACATGACTGAAATGTCTGTATGTTACCTAAAGGCACATACTTTAATACTCACAGTAGCACTACTCTTAATAACCAAAAACTGAAGATTACCAAAAACTCCAAAAACAGTTAAGTATATAAAGAGATTACTCTAAGGTTGTACTTAATGAAGCATAATAACTGAGAAATCATGCAATAATAAGTTTTTTCAAATGTAACAGTATGAGAAATATATACTGCCTGATATTACTTAAAACCACAAAACAAAACCAATCTATACAGGGCATAGTGGCTCATGCTTGTAATTCTAACTACTTGGGAGACAGAGATCTGGAGGATTAAGGTTTAGGACACCCAGGGGAAACACTCTGCAAGACCCTCTTCTCAACCAATAGAGATACACATAGAGTTACATGCTTGTCACCCCAATTACATGGGAAGCATAAATAGGTAGACTGCAGTTCAGGACCATCTGGGCAAAAACTTGAGACTCTATTCAAATAATAATTAAAGCAAAAAGGGCTGAGAGTGTGGTTCAAGTGATAGAACACAAGACTCTGAGTACTGTACCTCCCATAGAAAAATCTGTATTTATTTTTTGTGTGCTTTATACTTTCATGAAAAGAAAAGCAACAGTGCTGGGGACAGGTGACTCATCCCTGCAATCCTAGCTATTCAGACAAACCTGAACAAAAAGTGAGACCTCCCCAACTCAAACAATAGAAAGCATCCAATCAAACCAGGTGTTGGCCTGTGATCCTGGAGAGGCTGAGATTTGGAGGATCTCAGTTCAAGACCAGCCCAGGCAAATTGTATGAGAAACCCCCATCTCCAAAGTAACCTGAGCAAATAGCACTAAGATGTGGCTTAATCCATATAGCTCCTGCTTTGTGAGTGCAAAGCTGAGTTCAAAACTCCAGTTCCATCAAAAAAATTACAGATGATCAACTGTACTATGAGATGAAACAAACATCTCAATTCCAGATTTGGGTAAGATCTATCTCATGACAATCTATGAAAAACACAAGAATAACTGAGTACAGGATGATGGTAAGAAAGGTAATCTCTTGATTATCACAGAGAAATGATAAATATAGGAGTCTGTAAGTGTAAGTGGAATTTGGTTCATGAAGGAAATTTCTGGCAATGCCGAGTGCTAGTGGCTCAAACCTGTAATCCTAGCTACTTGGGAAAATATGATAAGGAGGACAGAAGTTCAAGGGCAGCCCAGGCAAATAATATGAGAAAATCCATCTTCAAAATAACTAAAGATGTGGCTCAAGTGGTAGAACACATCCTTTCCAAATACAAAGACCTGAGGTCAAATACCTATTCCACAAAAAAACCCAAAATTTCTATAAACATCAACAGGTTCAGAACAAGAGAGCACAAACAACTGATCAAAACAGTGAAATTAACTAAAGAGGAAATAGGACAATCAAAAAAGGAAAAAAATTAAACAGACTCAAGAGATTTCAAAACTCTTTCAGGTAGAAAGAGGAAAAAGAGCAAAACTGAACATATAAAAATGACATAAATAAGATTATAAAAAAAGAGATGCTTTCAGAGTCCTTAAGCATTTGCCCAAAACCTAATACTCTTTCATGTAATTTATATTTTGATCATCAAGATTATCTTTTGCAATATTAAACTAAGAACACTCAGAAAATGGTGGAGTAGAAAACAGTTTTATGAAAAATACTTATTTAGAAGTTAAGATAGAGATTTTGTTTATGACCCCAATACCATGAATAATTTTCACCCCCTTCCTGGACATTAGTCTCTTCATGAACTCAGAAGTAATTATAAAGAGAAGAGAGAAAATCAGTTGTGATAAAGTAATTTCAGGTTCAGTCTAACCTCAATAGTTCAAAACAGTTTTACAAATCACAGGAGAGTACTTACAAACTGGTTACTGTTGTGATGATTCCGCAGCCTCATAGTCATCTTGGTGCAAGGCTCTAGGCTGTGACCTAATTCCTCCTTGGTCAATGCTGATGCCATGTTTCCAATCCTACAGGGTTCCTCCTTCACCATAACAGTGGGGGGACACATAATCTCTTCTTTATCTAGGAGAGTCAGTAACAACTCTGAACACCAGCAATCCTTTTTTACATCACAATTAACAAATCATCTCCCCTGTGGTACTTCAGTATTTTAGCCTCCCCTACCCCCCCCAGTTAAAGGTTACCTTTCTTCTGTAGCGTTTTATCCTTAGCCACAAGGCCTAAGCCCATCATCTTGGGGCCTGCCCATATATTTGTAGTTTCTTTAGTTCTGGATTTTTCTCAATGTCTTCTTCTGTGGGCTCTGGCTATTGAAACAAGATTCAAATAAGGCAGTGAGCTTTATATTGAAAGACACTGTACTTTAGAGGTAACTTCTATACTTTCATATTTGCAAAATACCCTAGATACTATAAAGCAAAAAAGGTCACGTGATTAAAAAATCAACCAACAGTTATGCTAAATGTTTTCTAATCAATTTTTATTACCAAGAAGGAATAAATGAAAAGAAAACTTCGGAGAGCAATTTCTTTTCTCAATTTTTTCATATTTTGATAGAGATGATAAAATACTGGTACTTGTAGGGCTAGTGACTCTTCAGTATCATAAATCTATATATTAGAGAATCCAATCCTCTTTTTTGCAATTGTGTAGAAGATGCAAATGGTATGGATAGCAGGATCCTATTCTATTAAAACATAACTCTTTTCTCCCCACTGAGTGGTAGATAAAAGTTGTTATTTGTCCCTGGAAATGAAAACCTCTTATATGTCAAACTATATATATAAGGCACATATATGAAAATGACTCACTAATGTTAATATCAGCAAAAACACAGATGTTAGTGACATATTGTTGATGCATTAGTATATACAATTAAATAATACATTAACAGTGTTAATAGTTTAACATTTTCAGCACATATTTTTTTCAGTGAATATTGTGAGATATAATTTATTTTTAGATTTTCTTCTATATATAAATTTAGGTACATTTAAATCTATATACATTTTCTTCCACACACACATAAAAAATAACATATTTTGTTTTACTCCCATAGTAATTCTATAAGCAAAAACATGTACTGTATGACAAATAACTTTGTATAGGTCAACAGCATACCACAATATTACTGCAAAAATAATTGAACCTACTCTTTTATGAGGCTAATTCCAACTTTTTGATATTACAATAATATAATCAGGTTTTTTTTATTAACATAAATATATATATAATATACTTTGACCAAATGTATCTTTTTTTATTAACATAAATATATATATAATATACTTTGACCAAATGTATCTTTTTTTTCTTTATTCATTTATTCACATGTGCATACAATGTTTGGGCCATTTCTCCCCCCTGCCCCTACCCCTTCCCTTGCTTGCAGGCAGAACCTGTTCTGCCCTTTTCTCCAATTTTGTTGAAGAGAAGACATAAGCAATTATAAGAAAGACAAAGCATTTTTGCTAGCTGAGATAAGGACAGCTATACAGAGAGATTCCTAGCATTGCTTCCATACAAGTGTTTTACTTTCTAGATTTTATAAATTCCAAAGTTCCTGAGACGTCTCATTGGCTGAGGAAACTATACCACTCAGAGGTAATTCCTAGAGACAATAAACAACTTATGATGAGCTTGCCTTTCATATACAAACTAATGTATCTTGAGTCAAAACCCCCAACCAACTTCTTTATTTCTCTCACAAGACAGCATTTCTCCTGCTGAAAATCAACTCAGAGCCAGGTACCAGAAAACAATGGACAGCCCAAGTGCCTTTATGTTTTATAAAAACACAATAATTTTATAAAAAGTAATCAAAAGGTATAATAATATTTATTTTTAAAATGTGAAGCAATACTATGAAAAAATACTTGTAAACTGTAAACATGAACAAAAATATACATATACATCTTCAATTAATTTCATCTTGAGCCAGCTATTTATTACAAAAATTTTTACAGAAATTTATTTTCACCAAGAGCACGTTTCTAATAAACTTTGGTAGAATATAGAAATGAAAAGGGACACTTACTTCAGGTTGTAGTCTTTTTGCTCGTCGACTGTAGCTGCTGAACTTTGAAGGCTGCACAGACTGTCTAAGAGGAATGCTATGGGGCTTGTATTCCTTGTCTTTTTCCTCACTGTCAAGTGGGTGTGTATTATATTGCTAGACAGAAAAATAAAATGTATATTGAATAACCTTTGCAATTAGCAAATGTGTAAGTGATTCCTTCATTTTATACTTTTGACAAATCTGCAGTTCAAACTAACTTATTTCTCTTATTCTTTGAAGGAACAGAAAACAGAACACAGATTATGATAACTCCCCAGGACTTTTGTTTATGAATAAGCAGAAAAATACATGAAAGAAAACATGGTCTTTAGACTGTCTAAATTTGGGCCTCAGTAGTTTAAACTTACTCTCAAAGGGCTCTATGAAAATATATTACATCTCTTTGTGCTCCAGCTTCCTGGTAAGAAAAATACTAAATCTAATAGAATTATGTAGATTCAATGAAATCTGTTACACACATACAGACAAAATTTAAGTAGTGGGGGGAAAAAAGTCTAAAAATTTATTCTATTGAAAGAATCCATCTATGTATGTTCAACTCCTTGAGGTATGCTCAAATAATACCAAGCTTTTTTCCTTAAACTCCTTTTATGTGAACCACCATCAGGAAAAGTAAATAATTTCGTAAGATAAATATTCTTTTCAGATAGGATACCTAAAATAGTATTTATTCTCTTCTAGACTAAAATGTGGTTTACAAATTGATAATAGTAGATACCAGCTTCCTAAAATACAAGGAAAACGAATTACCAATGCTCATCTAGCTATCTATCATGGCAGGATTTTTTTTTTTTTTTTTTTGTGGTGGTGGAACTGGGGAGTTGACCTCAAGGGGCTCGTACTTATTTGGCAGGTTCTCTACCTCTTGAGCCATGCCCTTTTGCTCTGGTTATTTTTAAAATTGGTCTTGCTTTATTCCTGGCCTGGACTGAACCAAAAATCGATTTATTCTTGCCCTCCAAATGTGCATTCCCACAGAGATGAAATGAGAGCTGTATGCTAATGTGCCTAGTCATTGGTTGAGAAGGTATCTTACAAATTCTTTGCCTGGGCTGGCCTAGAACCCCAATCTTTTCACTGCCCAGCTCTCAAGTAGCTAGGATTACAGGCTTGAGTCACTGATTCCTTCCCTAAATAATACTTATTTATGCAAACAGGTTGTTTAAGGCCCATTTTGAAACTCATGATTATAAATGGACTTTTAATATCCACAATTCAAGAAAAGCCCAACCCAGAAAATAGAATAACAAAAAGAATTAAATGACAACACGCTGGAAGCCAGCTAAAGTCCCTCACCACAAGGTTGGCTCCAGACTGAAACATTTCGTAAGGGTAAATGATTCGTTCATAATGAGAACGTAGAAGGGAGCCAATGTTTTTGCCTGGCGGGTAATTAAGACGCTGGGCAACTCGGGCCCATCGACGATCCTTGCAGATGGCTTCATAACCACCTTCTTCCATTACAATCTGAAAAAACAAGAAAGGGTATAAATAAACTGTGAACATACTGGAGAGGCCAAAAGAAGCATAAGGCTTGAAATCTGAGGGATGTGCTGTCCCCCTCAACATCAAATATTCTATCAAGGCCAAACTCTTGTTCTCTCTTTTCTTGGCACAGAGATACGTTTCACCACAGAATATTCTCTACTAAGGCCACCTGTCTTTTTGAATGTAGACTATTCTTACCTTACTAAGGCTGTAGAGATCCAAGATCCTCCTCTCCACGTTGGGAATCTTTAATGAAGAGCCTTGAATTTCCCAGAATTTTGCAATCTGGTCTAAGTAGTTCAGTTTCACTCTGGTCTGAGCCTGAGGGAAAAAAGGACCCATGAGGCTGGCTTTTTTATTAACCTGATTTTGGTCAAGTGTGAAATGGATGGGAAGTTGTTCTATAATACTTATCATAATACATATAACATTTAAAAGCACTTGATGTCTGCTTTTGTTAAGAAATCAGGGAAAATTCAAAATGATTAAAAAAATAGTAATAACTGTGTTTAACGAGAAGAAATAGGAAAAATAGTATTTCATTACCCTCTTAATATCTCCACTCTTAGCCCATTGAACGGCAGAATAATACATCATTCATTTCCAGAAATTTAAGGCCTTTTTCATATCCTGCCATTTTATAGACTAATAATATGCTAAAGATTTTCTTCAAGGTCAGTATTCTGAGAAATGATGAAGTTAAAATTAAACATATTTCATTTCAAAGCCTAAATTCTTCACTATGTTGTTATAAAACTACCAGACAAGATTAGGCATTCAACTGCTGTTTGTAAGAATACTTCCCAATTTTACCTCTAGTTCATTTAGCCTCTGGATCCGAGGAGTGAATCTGAAGTTATCAACTTGTACAGCAAAAGGAGGCTGCCAGTCCTGGAAGGAAGTAAAAGAAATTCATAATTATGGCACTATTAAGAATAATAATCCTTCCTTTTTAAGAGTTCTGATTGCTTATGTTTTCAAAGACCTCAAATGGTTACATATTGAAAATTAGGTAACTAAAAGCAAAAACTCCCTACTTTCCTTAGTATATTCCTTTCCCAGACAAAAAAATAAATAAATAAAAAGCAGAAAAAAATGAAAAATCTTCACAAACTGAGATTTATAAACTAAATTTTAAAATGAGGCACCCTTGAACAAAAACTAGTGCATTTGCCTAACAATAAGTATCCTTATTAAAATGAAGGTAAAAACCTAATCCATTATCACTCAGCAGTCTGAAAAGTTGCAATTAATGAAAAATAACTATGACTGAAAGGAGTGTGAAGTTCTTAATAGAAAAAAATTATGTGTACAGAGACTGATTATTTGAGAAAAGATCAGTATGTTGTGCAAAAAGTTGACATCTACTCTGTATATTGTTTAACATGATGGCCCAAGCTCCTTTCAGCCTGCGTTAACTAACTCTAACTTCAACTGGTAATTTTGGATATACCAATCTAAGAGGCCTTTCGGTAAAATAACACAAATCTGTCTACAAGGACTCTACAGTCCTCGCATTTTTACCTACTTTTTACACTCTTTCCTAGGTGTGACAAAGAAAGCAAACATCGCAAGTCAAGAGGCCAGTAACAATACACATTCGTACAACTTGTTCATTACTTCTGTAATATGTATTTCAAAACTTTTTAAACACATTAAATTTTAGCTTTAAATTTAAACGTGGTTAATATTCCTGGATAATAAATGAATGTGATAATGGCACAGTGTATAAATATTTCTAGTTCACTCTTTGGAACTGGTATTGATATGAGTTTTTTTGTTAGGAAATTACAGGCAGTAAGATGAAAAACGAGATACAAAGATTCAAACCGCTACGGATTTGTTTCCCTAAATTTAAGGCCTTATGAAGTAGAATAATCCCATGATGGAAAATCAAAACGCCACCCCATTCCAGGTTTTCTATCCAGGGCTTACCGCAGGTGGGCGGATCTTGCAAATGCCCGACTTCTCTGCGATGGGCCTGATTTTAGCTATGTAACCAAGAGGGTCTTGGAATTCCACCCAGGTAGGCTCGAACACAGGGCATTCCGGCGGCGGTACAAAGTCTTCAGACCCGGACTCCATGTTTGGGTGAATACTAAAATAAGATTCAACCTTTCTTCAACAGCGCACAGAACTTCCACTATTGCGGCAAACAGGAACTTTATTTTCTTACAAATTCCACAGTTATTTTAATCCCTGTAAATGCTTACCAATCTTTCATAGTTCTCGATTTTGTTACCACCTTTTTAGCTGCTAAATGCTATGTGCTGTGTCACTCCGCGGATTAATTCTTCAGATGTTATTTACAAACCTGGGAGCCGTTCTACATATAAGCAAAAGTTGGCGAGTTCACCAAAGTAAAACAAATACAATCTTATTGCTGACTGATTTAATAGTTCTTCAGCGGAACGGAAGACCAAGATAATAGTGAACCGGATCTTTTTTAAATGGAACTACTACGCACGTTACGCCTGCGCGGTAGAGGGAAAGACTCCGGAAAGGAAGAAATGCGGTTAAACACTGGTTTTGCCAGAAAACTGAATCTTTACAGAAATGCCTGCACAAATTACTTTTTTCACTGCGAACTGTGAGCATATAAAGTTCTTAACCGCATTTAGAGTCTTAGTGGGTTCCCAGTTTCCAGCCTTAGCTTCATGGGAAACAACCAGTGACTGGAATTTTACAACCCGAAACCATGGTATATTTTTTCATGTACATTATTTCACACTGCCCCTGTCATACAAACATTTGTTGTTTACTTTTTCAACGAGTTTTAATTCATTATAAGAGTTTTTTAAACAAGTGGTTTTATTTTGCTACCCATAATTTAATGGTTTACATCTGTGTTACTAACTAGCTTGCTATTCAGTTGCCTTACAAGCAATTCACACTTAACAGTAAATTTTGCACTTGTTTTTTTCGGTGCTGGTCGTGGAACCCAGGGCTCCACATGTTAGGCAAACTCTTAACACTGATTTAAAACTTTAGCCCACGTTTTACACTAACAAAATTTGTTTTGTCTCTTTTTAAACAATACGTGAAAATAAGGAAACATCTTCTTTGAAAATTTTTTTGTTTCTTTAAAATTTTAAAACCTATTAGGCTCCATTTTTAAAGAGAATGCAAAAAAATACTTGCTTTATGATTTGTTTGGACTTACTTAAATGTTTCATTTTACACTACTGTTGTTATTTCTTCCAGTAATTTTCTATATTACTAGCCTCATTTAGCTTATATCATACTTGTTTTCAAGATGGTGGAGTGGCACAAGTGCTTGTCTAGCAAGTGTAAGGCCTTCAGTTCAAACTCCAGTTTTTGGAAAAAACAAAAACTTACTTTTCTCAATTTTACTTTTACTGTTTTATGTACATATTTTTCTCTGTTTTGTAAAATCAGACATCATAGTTTAGTATAACCACAGTAAAAAACCTCTCTACTGCTTAAAAGCATTCTGTACCCCTACAGTCACTAATCTACTTTTTGTCACTATCAGACTGGCCAAAGTACAGATATTAAGCATAGGAACCAAGAGGAAGGAGTTAAGAATAAACACTATATTTAATAGGTACTTGAAGTTTCTCACTCACTTCAGGTTATAGCAGCTGTGTATGCTCTTAACCTTGCACTTATGATTTTGCCCAGAGCACTGAAATAGGCAAACCCTGAATGAATATCTCAAGAAAAGTAACTGGAGAAACTAATCTTTGGACTAAAAGGAAACTTTTTTAAATAAAAATAAATATCTCTGAATTGTGGACTTCTCTGCCTTATGTAAACACCTAAAAGAAAGCAGCTGGCAGATTCCCAAACATATATCACTTATTTCAAATAAGGAAACTTGGTATCTGGGAATACCAAGTGTTTTAGTTCTAGAAACAAAAGATGCAATTAAAGAATGGCTGTCACAGCAAATGATTAACATGCCAGATGTTTCAGTATATACTTGAGTCTTACTAACTTACCTTCTGTAAAGGATGGGGACACTTCTCCTCTGCCAACATCTTCAACCTATTGGGATGTGTTTTATCTTCCTGCTTTGGAAAATACAATAAAAATTCTAAAAACTTACTGTCTAATTAGACTGGCCCATAAATTCTTGTCAGTAATAATGTCACAAACCTGGTCAATATGTGTGCTAAGAATACATCACCCCATGTCATAAACTCAGCACCCTTTCAAGTTGGATATGCTCTCTGGTATCCTCCTTGAGTTTAAACTACTCCTGGTTCTAATAACAATTATAGAATTTAATATTTTGGACATTTTGTTAAAATGAAATTGAATGATTTGTAGCTGTCTCCCTTTTTTCTGTCTGGCTTCTTCCCTTGAACATACAGCTTCAAATTCCACCCATATTTCATTTCCAAGGATTTCATTTTTTTTTTGTCTTGTTTTTGTTGTGATGGTAAGATACATCTGACAAAATTGACCATCTTAACCATTTTTAGGCATTAACTAGCTAGCTAGCTAGCTAGTTGATTAGTTATTTTGGTGCTAGGACTTGATATCAGGGCCTTATGCTTGCTAGGCAGGTGCTCTATCATTTGAGCCAGTCCATCAGCCATTTTGGGGTTGGATGTTTTTGAGATAGGATCTCAAGAACTATTTGCCTGCGCTGGCTTCAGACCATGATTCTCCTGATCTCTGCCTTTGAGTAGATAGGATTATAGGTGTAAGCCACCAGCACCAGTATAGAATTCTATTTTTTTTTCTATTTTTAAATAATACTCATACAGATAAAGACTTTTTATATCAAGTGATGAATATTTGTCTCTACTTTTAGCTAATATAAATATTGCTGATATGAATGCTTTCTGTGCATGTATGCATGTTTACATAACTTTGAGAGAAAACCTACTTGAATAGTGTTGCTGAGTCAGATGAGTTCTCTAGGTTCAAACTTTAAGGAACTACTACACTATTCTCCTAAGTAACTACATGATTTAAAACCTCAAGAGTAGAAAAGAGTTCATTTCTTGACCACCTCCCCAACACTGTTTTCTGACTTATTGGTAATACCCATAACAGTATGTACATAGAATTCCATTGTGCTTTTTTTTTCCCAGAATCCATTGTGTTTTGATTCACATTTCCAGGATTGCAAAGTGAACTTGAACTTCTTTTCATGTGCTTATTGGCCCTCTGTATGTACGTCTTTGGGAAAATGTCTACTTAAGTACTTTGCCCATTTTTAGGTTTGATTCTTTCCTACCTGCAAATGTTTTAATTTTTTTTCTAAGCATAATTCTCTGATTAGATGTAGGATTTGAAACTTACTCCAGTGCTGAATGTTGTCCCTTCATTTTATTAGTAGTGACTTTTAAAATACAAGATTTTGATTCAATTATTTTCCACTTTGCTTTTTGTCCCTTGTACTTTCAGTGTTACATCTAAAAAAGGCTTTCTTGAACTCAAAGTTACAAAGATTTACTTCTACATTCTTCTAGGAGTCTGATAGCTTATAGTTCATAAAGGTTGATTAATTTTGAGCTAACTTCTCCATGCATTCTAATGATCCAATTCTATATTTGTGTGTGTGGTTACCTAGTTATTTCATCATTTGATGAAGAGAATATTTTTTCCTTATTGACTGTTCTTGGCACACTTGATGAAAATTAATTTACCAAAGATATATAGGTTGATTTCTATGTTCCCATTTCTATCCCATTAATCAATATGTTAGTGCCTCATTGTTTGGTAACTATAGTTGTAGTAGGTTAACTGAAAAGTGATTTATCCAATTTTACCTTTGTTTTTCAAGATTATGTTGACTATTCTAGTTTGACTTCCCTGAATTTCTATTAAATGGCCTATTTGTAAACAAATTTAGGGAGAATTGCTATCAGATACAACTAAAGAATTTGAATCAGTGATCAAAGGGTCTCTTCCAATCTATTAAGGTCTTAGCAAAGTTTCTTTCAGCAAAGTTTAATGATCATACATGTATGAATACATGTATGTATATGTATATATGTCTTTACTCTCATTAGCTGATGCTGGATTATATTATTTTTTATGTTACTCTGAATGGTTTTAAAAAATGATGGATTCTTTTTATTGCTAGTGTACATTAACAGCAATAACTACAGTATATCTTGTGTCACCTTAATTATTGTAGTAATTTTTGTGGCTATACCTTATGGTTTTCAATATGTAGATTATGGTATCTACAAAGAATATTTTTACTTTCTTCTCCAGCTAGAACTTCCAGTATTATTCACTGACAGAATTGATAAGAAAAGAAATTTTATCTTGTTATTGGTCTTAGGAGGATAGCTATTGTATGAAGTTTTATGTGTCCTAAAATTCATATGGTGAAACCTAATCACCATTGTGAGAGGACTCGGCTGTTGTGAATTGACTAATGACTTTATTTTTTTTTTAAGTCCCCAGAAAGCTGCCTTCCACCTTTCACTATATGAAGGCACAGGTCTAAGTCTCATCTGTTAAGGAAAAATATGGCCTACACCAGACACAGAATCTGCTGGCACATTGAGTTTGAACTTTCCATGCTGTAGAAATAAATTTCTATTGCATATAACTCATTCACTTTATGGTTGGTGCAACAGAATGAATGAACTGAGCCAAAAGTTTTCATTCTTTCCCTGTTAAGTATTATGTTTGTTGTAAATTTTTTCATAAATGTCCTTTGGTTTCTTTACTTACATTTTTATGCATAAATATATGTATAAATGTGTATACTGGGGATTGCATTGTGCTTGCTACGTGAGTGCTGTACCACTTAAACCATGGCTGTAGCCCTTTTTGCTTCAGTTATTTTTCAGATATATTTCCTTTTTGCCTGGAGCTGGCCTTGAACCTCCATCCTCCAACCTATGGAAGATATAGAAAGGATGAGCATATATATTGAAAAAGAAGGTTAAAGGGAAAGAGATGCTCTGGGATGAGAAAGGATTTTGTTAAGTAAACTTTGTCTTAAATGATTGTTCCAAAATGGAAAAGCAGAGTAGGACAAAAAAGCAGAAGGTTCAGAAAAAGTTACAATGGGTATTAGTGGGTCTTAAATATATAAAAGATAGAACTTTCGAGAAGTGTATGTGTATGTGATTATGTTGGCTATAATTTAAGCATTACCTAAACATTTTCTAAAAGAATACAATGATGTAAAACTAACACCCAGTTCTCTATAACAATAAGACTATCTTAACAATATTGCTGTCCTCTGTAATGCTTACTAAAAAGTGGCTTAAGGAAGAGATTTTTGTTTTATTAAGACATTTACTTTTTGCTTTTGATTTTTATCATGGTTTTCACTGCTAAGGAAAGTGAATCTAAACTAAGTAAAATGCAAAAGTGTATTTATGTCAAATCCTTCAAATGACCACTTCATAAATGTGGTTTAACAGCTATTATTTTTAGTGATTGTAGTACAGTT